TTTTTTTTTTTTTTTTTTTTTTTTTTTTTTTTTTTTTTTTTTTTTTTTCCGCACAGTCGTTTTCCCCGAGGCCAGTGAGTCGCCCTTATTATCAACAGTTTATAGTGGGACTTTCAAGTTTCAATTCACACTGGGACTGTGGGACCTGTGGGACTTTGCTGTAAAGGACAGGGGAAGTTCACAGTGGGACTTTCAAGTTTGAAGAAGCGAGGGGGGGAGTGAGGGAGCGAGAGAGGGAGCAAGAGAGATGGGTGGAGAAGTGAGGTTGCTGGTAGGTTGGCAGGAGGGAACAAGGGCAGAGGGCAGAGGGCAGGGAATAGAGAGACAAGGTACGGAGAGAGAGATGGGAGGAGGGAAGGAGTAATGATCGGGAGGGTGACGGGTGGGTGAGACATAATGTGCAAAAAAATGGAAAGGAGGGAGGAAGGACACAAGAAAACTGATCTGGACACGTCGCATACAAAGGCGAACGGAAACAAAAGCGAAAGAAGACAAGGACACAGACGGGGAACTCAAGCATGTGAGGGACAGATATGGGACACAAACACCATGGGCCCGTGGGGAAAACGAATGGTAAGTCGCCATGTAGTACAAGGAGTCGCAAGGAGGAAAGGAAAGACCGGACACGAGACAGAAAAATTATTCTTAGACTCAAGCGGTTCGGAGACGAGGTGAAAAAAAACATAAGTGGGGTGGAGAATATAGTTATATTCGGAACTTAGGATCCACCGAAGTCTTGGCAGTGGAGATTTTTTAGGAGATGAGAAAAAGATAAGGGAACGGAATCAGAGTTTTAGGCAATTAGAACCCACCAAAGTCTCGGCAGTGACGTAATCTGTATCCATCTCCAGGAACTGCAGCAACCTGTCGACTATTCCATTGATATCGTATCGGCGAAGAGCGATCCGACCGACGGCTCTGATTGATTCCCGAGCAATCGGCACATCCACATTCGTAGCATACTCGCTTAGCTCCGTGACTGCAAGTGAAAAAAAAAAAAAGACAGAAAGAGCATTCACAGTTAGAGAAAAGGAAAAGAAAAAAAGAAAAAAAAGGCACCGTAGCCTCGCCTAATTGGCGGAATGAATGAATAGCAGGCTATAGGCCGTCGCTTCGCGGCGGCAACAGTCAACGCGGGTTCAAATCCCGTTTTTTTTCCCAGGAGGGGAGGATTGCATGCTTCACGTGAGAACAGTCCAGAAATTCCGGATCGTATATGCTGTACAGCACCACGGTGAGGGCTTTCTGTAAGTGGTGCCAACTGGAATCAAGAAGATATTTAGTTGAATCGCCTACCACTTCCGGCGGGAGCCTATTCTCTCCCCCAGCATCTCCAAACCTATTTTGTCTTCCACGCAAGTAAACTGCTACCTTTCTCTCCGAGGAATTCGTGAAAAGAGTAGAATCAGAATGGCGGACGTCCAAACCGGGACGGCGAGAGTGCAAGGGGAAAAAAAAGCACAAGTCAAACGCAGCTATTAACACGCTTGCGGCTTTCCTTGACCCTGGCAAGGAAACATTGGTCAGACGAATCGTGAACGGCATGGATCTTTCTTGTTCGCAAGTGGACGGGTGCGCTGAGGCGTGTAGCGAAATGGCCCCCAAGTACGTCTACTCCAGATGAGCAAACTTGCACTTGTCACAATGTCTCCTTCTACTTGGTCTCGCCAAGTCTTTCGCAAACGCAACGGAAATGCTCCAAATGTCCCTCCGATGTCCAGCTCTAGACCAAAATATCATCCACCTAGACCAAGACAAACAAATCCATGATCGAGTGGAACTCATCGAGTCATCGCAACTTAGGGCATCGCAACTTAAGACGTTGCCCAGGCATTGGTGAGCGCGAATGCCATCACGGCTCAGTCGAAATGCCGGTCATCCCGACCTTGTCGGCGACAGATGTGAAGCTCAAGGTAGCCTGACATAAGATCCCATTTACAGAAGTAACATGTGCCCACGGTCGCTTGAAAAGGGTGTTGACGCACGCTAAGGGTATCTGTATTTTTTACGGTTTGAACGTAGAGTTTGGCCGTGACGAATGCGAAGTCGCAGGTCCTTGTTCTTCTTCCGTACGAAGAGAACAGGTGCGTCATTTGGCGAGCGGCTAGGGGTGATCCACCCCTTCACAAGAAAGTCGTAGAGTTCAGGTCAACGAACCGTAAGCTCCTGATCGCTGATACGCTAAAAATACACCACTTTGGCGGAGTGGTCCCGTTGTGAAGACAGGTTCGACAAATGATGGGGAAGTCCTCAATCAATCCAGAAGGTGCCTCAGATCGTCCGCGCCGCGTACGCGTCCACAATCTGAACGACCCAAGGATCCTTAGGCTCGTCTTCTGACTTCCTAAGAGTCCCCCGGAAGCCAGTGCATGAAGAAAACATCTCCAATCTCTGTGATCTTATCCCGTTCACAGGTCCCCGAAAAATGTTGAAGCAGAAAGAACATGCCAGCTGATAAAAGAATGTACACACTACAACCTTTAGAGTCATTTATACCGGGAGAGAGAAAGACGAAAGATCCATCTCTTCAACATCGTTTCAATTCAATCACAAGAGATGAACGTATAGTCCCAAACGCATCGGATCATCTCTCAAACATCGTTTCTATTCGATCACAAGATATGGACTAACGTATAGTCCAAAAGGACTCCTGAGGTTATGAATATATATCAAACTACAATTATATTTTGCGGACAGCGTTCAAGAGGCAGAAGAAAGAGGCGGAGTTGGTTTACTCTCTATCCGTATTCTACTCCGCATGGGTGATACCAATTGCGCAAAAGTTCATTGGCTGCCGTGAGCAGTTCGATCTGTTCGCCAGGCACAAGGTATGGCCTTGTGACTTGATGAAGTACCTCAAGGTACATGGTTAATAACCACCACCGCATGATCCTTCCTTCTTTTTTTTTTTTTT